GCTGCCCGGAGCAGGTAGCTCCCGCCGCTCTGGCCCGAGCCCAGCTGGGCATGCGGGGGAGTTCCGTGTGGCCAGGACAATGAAGGGCCTGGGATTGCCGGGCGTTTGGCCGGCGCCGGGAAGGGGGCGATGAGCAGAGCTCGGTCCCTTCCTTCCCCCCGGCAGGTACCTGTTCCATTATTCAAACATAAACCAGGGAAATGGCCCCACCTGCCCTTTCGGGTAGCGACAGGTTTCATATTTGCCAAGCGGAGCACCCCAAAAAACCTTTCCCCCAGAATGAAGGGCCTGGGATTGCCGGGCGTTTGGCCGGCGCCGGGAAGGGGGCGATGAGCAGAGCTCGGTCCCTTCCTTCCCCCCGGCAGGTACCTGTTCCATTATTCAAACATAAACCAGGGAAATGGCCCCACCTGCCCTTTCGGGTAGCGACAGGTTTCATATTTGCCAAGCGGAGCACCCCAAAAAACCTTTCCCCCAGTCATGCTAGGCCTCGGGTCAAGCTTATCACTCCATAGCGTGAAGCCTCTGAAGGTGCTAGCAGACAGTGCTGTTTAATTGTAACTTTAATCTGTTCTTGTGTTCAGATGTCTTGTATCTTTAGGTTTCAGTTTTTTAATTGACAGGAGATCATACAAACTGCCTCATGCTTATGAAGCATGAAACAGATCTAGTAATTCCTTTTATTTTCTTGGTGTTCAGTTACAGGGAATTCTCAGATTCCTGGTTCCTAGAAACCGTCTCCTGAGTAAGATAACTTGAAAAATTCTTAGTACTTCCAGGAGGACTAATATCTTCCCTCCCATTCACACTCCTACCCACGCCCTGAAGTGTCACAAATTTAGATTTACTTAAAAGTAAGTGTGATCCTTAGAAATAGACCACCTACATCATTTTGACTTAATATGTCACCACTTGCTGTTCTAATTCTGTAAGATATGGTATTTAATGGTGGTGCTGCTAGAACATGTGTCAGAGCCATACATACATTCTGATGCATTATTCAAATGCTGATGAGTAGATATTCGTTTCTTGGCATAAGAACAAGTTGGTTTTAAACTCTGCAAAAGTAGAAGCATCTAGAAAAAAGGGAGCCAAGTATAATTAACATATTAATACTGAAAATAAGAAATAAGTTTGGGTCAGACCAAAGGTCTGTCCAGCCCAGTACCTTGTCTGCCAACAGTGGCTAATGCCAGGTGTCCTAGAGGGAGTGAATCGAACAGGTAATGATCAAGCGATCTCTCTCCTGCCATCCATCTCCACCCTCTGACAAATAGAGGCTAGAGACACCATTCCTTACCCATACGGCTAATAGCCATTTATGGACTTAACCTCCATGAATTTATCTAGTTCTCTTTGAACCCTGTTATAGTCCTAGCCTTCACAGCCTCCTCAGGCAAGGAGTTCCACAGATTGACTATGCGGTGTGTGAAGTAGAACTTCCTTTTATTTGTTTTAAACCTGCTGCCCATTAGTTTCATTTGGTGGCCTCTAGTTCATATATTATGGGAACAAGAGATGATTAATAGTGTTCTGTTTTGAAAGGGATTATCACTGTGACCAGTGTTTCTTGTTTAAGTGCAAGGAATTACACTCAAACCAGTAGTTTCTTCCATTTTGAATACTGTTAACAGTGGCCATTGTCTTGCTGCAGAATAGGAGGATAAAACAGTAAGTTTAACAAAAGTCGACTTTGGAACATGTTCAAAAAATTCTGTTGACTTAGATAAGTGTAAAGGGGCAGCCACTGTTGTTGTTTTTGCAGATACAGACTAAGTCCTGTGGCAACTTAAAAACTAACAGATTTATTTGTGCATAAGCTTTTGTGAGTAAAAACCACTTTGTCAGATGCATGGAATGGAAATGTATTTGATAGATATTAGTATAACGGTGTGGTCAAAATGGTTGTACAGGTTGAATCTAGTGCAGCGCTCTTGGGACCTGACCAGTGCTGAGCCAGAGAATTTGTGGAACCATGGGAAGTCAATATTTTCTAGCAGCAATACCAACACTCCCACTGCTTACTGGGCTCTTAGAAAACATTTAGGGGTAAATTAGAGCTAAATAACAGCACAGAACATTGAGAGCCGGGACCAATGGAGATAAACGTACTGCAGGAAATTTGGCCATACCCATGATATGTGGACATCTGGCTAACTAAAATCACTCTGGACCAGAGAGGTTCAACTATATTTTCTTCTGTATATAATATCAGACACTAGGTCTGAAATTTAGTATGATTGTAAAACTTCTGCAAAAAAACTGCTTATTTTAAGAGGCAGAGCAAGTATAAAAATGGATATGAACCTCTTACTGACATCCAGTGTTCAAATAGTAATATAGTAAGTTGGTAGGTTTTACGAAACAAGGTTACCTTTATAGTATTTCATAATAAGACTGGGTAGTAGCTTCTTTAGCATTGTTATAAGCAAGAAAGTAGGTCTGAAGCAAGCAGCGTATCACAATTCAGAACTTTGGTAGTCATTCATACAAAAGAAAGTTATGCTGACAAAAAATGCATGCCAACTTCTATTCTAACTTACTTTGCTCAGGGTTAATGACTGGTTTACTCTGGCTAGCATATCTATATGTGCTGATAATACTACGTGGCTACGTCTACACTGGCCCCTTTTCCGAAAGGGGCATGCTAATTTTACAGGTCGTTATAGGGAAATCCGCGGGGGATTTAAATATCCCCCGCGGCATTTAAATAAAAATGTCCGCCGCTTTTTTCCGGCTTGTAGAAAAGCCGGAAAAGAGCGTCTACACTGGCCCCGATCCTCCGGAAAAGGGCTTCAAAGTAGGAATCCTTCAAAGTAGGAATAAGAGAGCCTCCGGAAAAGGGCTTTTTTCCGGAGGATCGGGGCCAGTGTAGACGCTCTTTTCCGGCTTTTCTACAAGCCGGAAAAAAGTGGCGGACATTTTTATTTAAATGCCACGGGGGATATTTAAATCCCCCGCGGATTTCCCTATTACGACCTGTAAAATTAGCATGCCCCTTTCGGAAAAGGGGCCAGTGTAGACGTAGCCCATGTGATAAATATGTTTGGCATTTCAATGTACGTATTATTGAGCAGTAGTATAGCAGTTATGCATCCTTGATTGGCCTGTACCCTTGTTAAAATCCTATACATTTATGCTGAAGTAAACCTTTCCTTGAATACCTAGGAAAACTAATTATAGGACATATAGGGCAAGAGGAAAGGAAAGAAATTATCCATACAAACCAAGAGGGTACCTGGAATGCATTTGCTCTGAACAAAGATAAGGGTATGTCATTACGTAGTATGCATGGGTTCAGAATAAAAGATCAAGTGTTCACCATAGTACCAGAAATAAGGCAAAAAGTTGATTACATCCTGTTTTCGGTGACACAGGAGGGGTGGGTGAGATTCTGTGGCCTGTACTGTGCAGGGGGTCAGACTAGATGATCATAATGGTCCCCTCTGACCTTAAAGTCTATGAGTCTATATGAATGAGAGAGCGAGAGAGACATACAAACTTTTTAACAGGTAAATGTGTTGGTATACTGGTCTGGCTCCGGAGGGAGTTCAAGCTGCCTCACTACAAGGAAGCAGACTGAGTTAGTAGTCCTGCTTCAGGCTGGAGCTGCAACAGTTTGGCTAGTCCAGCCCATGTTTGGGCAGAACAACTGTCAAGATGCCCTAGTTCAGAGGGCCCTGGTGCCGGGGGCCTATATTCCAGCTGAACAGAAGTAAATCGGAGCAGCTTGGGCCTCTGCCCAGAACAGCAGTCAATCAGAGCAGCTTGGGCCTCTGCACAGATTGAGCGCCAGTTAGTATGCCCTTGGCCTAGCTCAGGGTGGGGCCACAAACAGCAGGCTCAGGCTTGTGTACAGGTTGAGTAACGGTCAGTAAGCCCATAACCTTGTTCAGGGTCGGGTGAGGAGCAGTGCAAGGAGTTCAAGCTAGGGTTCAGGCCTTAGTTCAGGGCAGGGCAGCAACAGGTTCAGGGTACTCGGGCCTGTGTGCAGGCAGAGCAGGGTGGATAAAATCAGTGATTTTTTAAAAATAAAAAAATCATATTTTTTATTTAATTCACATTTTTTTAATAAAATGCTTTTTGAGGAAAATAATATCCCAAGATAGCTTTGAGCTAACACATACCTTAATTAAAACTATCTCATGGAATAGGGATTATGAATTCTAATTCTATAATATGTAACAATTAAGGAAAGTTTTGTAAATGAGTTCTAATAGTTCATGGATTAGGGACCCAATCTGATAAGGTCCAGAGGCTTCTGTATAGATCATTTAGGTTAATTTTTCTATTTACCCAATGGGGCTAATCTAGAAGATAACCTCAGAGATGCTTAGTTTTTCAGTTCTCAAACTGTGGATTTCATAGAATACTAGAACCTCGGAAGGGACCTCGAGAGGTCATCGAGTTCAGTCCCCTGCCCTCACTACGGAACCAAACACCATCTAGATCATTCCTGAAAGATGTCTATCTAAACTATTCATAAATAACTCCAATCATGGAGATTTCACAACCTCCTTAGGCAATTTATTCCAGTGTTTAACCACTCTGGCAATTAGGAAGCTTTTCCTAATATCATAACTAAATCTTCCCATGCTGCTGCTTGTGTTATCAGAGATCAAGGATAAATTTTTTTCTCCCTGCTCCTTATACTGCCCTTTTTGGTACTTGAAAATTATCATGTTCCTTCTCAGTCTTCTCTGTGTCACGCTGCTGCTTTGAAATGCTGGGTGGAGCCCAAGATCATCTGGGGACTCCCCTGCTAGACCCAGGCTGTGCCAGCTTTGAAATATACAAGAGTCCCCAGAAGGGGCTCTTGTGCATTTCAAAGTGGAAGCACCCGCATGGAGCCTGGAGTCAGCGGGACTTCCCGCTGGCCCTGTGCTCCACGCAGCGTTCTGCCTTTGAAATGCACAAGATCCCTCACTGGGTCTCTTGTACATTTCAAAGGCAGAATGCAGAAGTGCTTATGGACTAGTTGATGAGCAAATTAATTGCTACTTAACATCCCTACCGAGAATCATATTTGCTTTTTTTGGCAACAGTGTCACACTGGTGACTCATATTTAGCTTGTGGTTCTTTATGACCCTTAGATCTTTCTGCAGTACACCTTCCTAGAGATTTGCTTCCCATTCTGTATGTGTGAAACTGATTGTTCCTTCCTAAGTGCAGTACTTTGCATTTGTCCTGATTAAACTTCATCCTGTTTACCACCAATCATTTCTCCTGTTTGTCCAGATCATTTTTAATCATGACCCTAATCTCCAAAGCACTTGCAACCTCTCTCTGCCAATATCTAAATCGCTGATGAAGACACTGAACAGAACCAGTTCCAAAACTTACCCCTGCGGAACCCCCACTTGTTATGCGGTTCCAGCATGAGTGTGAACCTTAATTACTACTCTCTGAGAAGAGTAATCCAGACAGTTATACACCCACCTTACAGTAGCCCCATCTAGGTTGTATTTCTCTGATATTTTGTGGATAAGGTCATGTGAGATCATGTCAAATGCCTTACTAAAGTCTAGGTATACCACTTCTTCTGCTTCTCCCTTATCCAGAGGACTTGTTTTCCTATCAAAGAAAGCTATCAGATTAGTTTGACATGATTGGTTTTTTACAAATCCATGCTGGCTGTTGTGTATCACCTTATTTTCCAGATGTTTGCAGATGAATTCCTTATTTATTTGCTCCATTATCTTTCTTAGCAAAGAAGTTAAGCTGATTATTCTGTAGTTTCCTGGGTTGATCTTCTTTCCCTTTTTATAGCTGGGCGCTCTATATTTGCCCTTTTCCTGTCTTCTGGGATCTCCCCCAACTTCTGTGATTTTTCAAAGATGATAGCTAAAGGCTCAGATACCTCCTCTATCAGCTCCGTGAATACTCTAGGCTGCATTTCATCAGACCCTGGTGACTTGAAAACATCTAACTAAGTAATTTTTAACTTGTTCTTTTTCTGTTTTAACTTTTAAGCCTATCCCATTTCTACTAGCATTTACTATGTTAGGCATTCAGCCACCATCAGTCTGCTTGATGAAAACAAAAACAAAGAAGTCGTTAAGCACCTCTGCTATT